TTCTGGGAGCGATGCTGACACCGGAGGGGTGGTCACCTCGGGTGCACGGCGCAGCCGCTGACCGTTGAAGAGTGCCTGGGGCTGTTGTCGGCGTTTAACCACCCACCTTACCATGATGTTGGAAGCAGAGCCTGGTTGGAGGAGGGAGGTCTGTCCCCCGAATCAGACTGCTGGGCCATCTGGTGGTGCAGCTGACCTGCAAACGAATCTGGTAAATTTCAGACCTGAGTTACAGCTGGTGCAGGGAAATCTAAAAGCCAGGTGGTTCCCTTAACAGCTGTCCATCCAGTTAGGGTAGGCAGGAAAGAAAATTCCAACCCTGTTGCACCTCCACGGGTTTTCTAGGATCTAGAGTCGCTCCCTGGCCTTTTGCCATGATGAGCACCATCTCAGGGCAAGCGTTAGTGATATTTCTCCCTTCCTGTGTTGAAATGATCTCCGCAAGTCAATGAGTCTAAGATTTTATTTTATTTATTTTTTATTTTTATTTTTTTTCACTCCTGCCTGGTTCCCATCCCCTTTGTGATGTGGGCCCTCTGGTGTGAGGTCTGAGTCTAAGATTTTAAGTGAGTATATCAAGTGATTGACTACTAAAAAAGCCTGTGGTTGTTTAGCTGGGAGAGTACTCATAGAAGCAAGAGTCTGTGAAACACATTCTTACTCTGGAAGTGTCCAGACTCATGTCCCATCGGGGGAAAAGCACATATGGCGGACTCTAAGATGAATGTTGAAATTGGGAGTATTTCTACCGCAGATTTTCTGATAACTTAATGAAACATTACTTTTATTAAGTCAGTTAGTATGCATGCTGAATGAAGTGCAAGACAGTTTTAGCCAAGAAAGGGAAGGAATTTTTTTTTTTTTTTTTTTTTTGTGGTACGTGGGCCTCTCACCGCTGTGGCCTCTCCCGTTGCGGAGTGCAGGCTCCGGACGTGCAGGCTCAGCGGCCATGGCTCACGGGCCTCGCCGCTCCACGGCATGTGGGATCTTCCCGGACTGGGGCATGAACCCGTGTCCCCTGCATCGGCAGGTGGACTCTCAACCACTGCGCCACCAGGGAAGCCCAGGAATAATTTTGACTGTTTAAAAAAAAAAATTTATTCTGAATGAAACCCTTTGGTTATATATCCATGTAGTTTTTTTTTTTTTTTTTCAGGGGGAGGGAGTGGTAGGCAGACCTGGGGGTTTTTTTGTGTGTGTGCTTTTTAAAATAAATTTATTTTATTTATTTATTTTTGGCTGCATTGCGTCTTTGTTGCTGCACACAGGCTTTCTCTAGTTGAGGCAAGTAGGAGCGGGGGCTACTCTTCATTGCAGTGCGTGTGCTTCTCATTGTGGTGGCTTCTCTTGTTGCAGAGCACGGGCTCTAGGCACGCAGGCTTCAGTAGTTGTGGCTCGTGGGCTCTAGAGGAGAGCAGGCTCAGTAGTTGTGGCACATGGGCTTAGTTGCTCCACGGCATGTGGGATCTTCCTGGACCAGGGCTCCAACCCATGTCCCCTGCATTGGCAGGCGGATTCTTAACCAGTGCGCCACCAGGGAAGTCCCCAGACCTGGTTTTTATTCACTGCTTTAGGGGTGATGCAGCTAAAGGAACTCAGGTATAGAGGAAGTAAGGTATTTTCCACTGAGTCATTCAGGAACCAAATGTGTGAAACCAAAAGAAGTCTTGGGGTGAGATTCCCCCAGATCCCCCATGTTGGTGCGAGTGCTTCATTGCATGAGGGTGCCCAGCTGAGGCTACAAGTCGGGGCCGAAATTCAGCCTGAGCTCTACTCACTGAGCCTTGGGGCTCTGCCCACCTGGAGGTGGGATACCTCCTTCAAAGGTCCCAAGTTCACTTGCCAAGCATGGAGCTGAGCTTTTGGGTTGGGGGTCGGTGAGCAGTGAGGGCTTAGGCGTATCACCAGTGGTGTCCAGGATACTCTTCTATGTATTACAACTAGAACTGGAGCTTCAGGGGGCATGGTCTTCCAAGGTCTTTGTTTAGATGGGACTAGAGTAAAAGAGTTCAAAGCTATGCACAGTTCAAAGAGGATCTGTAGTGACAAATCCCTGATTTCACCTCGTCGGTTGCATAGGCAGAGTGGACCCTGGATGAAATTGGAAAGAGTTGGAGATTCGGAATATCTTTCCATCTCCCTTCTGTCCATTAAGACTCCTCGCTGCATTCTTGCCCCTCTTCACCCCCATCCCACGCTGCTCAGACATCAGCTTCAAACTTGCCCTTTCTCAAAGCAAAACAAAACAAGCACAGAAACCGCCTTCTGTTCACTAGGAACCTTGTTCAAGAGGGAAACACTTGAAGTTGCCAAATTCAAGATGTAAATAGGTAGGAACAATTACCTATTACCTTCCTCAAGGGTAGCATTTTAATACTTAAATAGCAAATGAACTGCACCTTCCCAGTGGAATTTCAGGCCGTGGGAAGTGGTAGGGATTTTGTTTGGGTGTTTAAGGCAGGAAGGGATTCTTTATTCCTGAGACCGCTATGTGTTGGGTCCACAGTGGCCCAACAATAAGATTCCTTCAGTTTACATCATCTTTATTCTTCGTTGCTTTTATCTTATCATGTGTCATTCACAGTTTCCGTTCCCCTTGTCATTACACTGTTCTTTTAGGCCGACCTCAACTTTTCCTTCTTAGCTCTGAGCATGGCCAGACTGGCATTTGTTTTCCTTCTGCTGAGATCATTCTTCCTTAATTGCCTTCTTTCCAGGCATGCAAACTTATGACTTCTACTGCATCCGAAATCTTCTATTTTTTAAGTATCACACTCTCAAAATCTACCTGCTTGAAAGCATCAGATTTTGTAGCTTCGATATTGAAGTGGAAGTTCAGAGCGTCCTCATTGCTTTCTTACCCAGAAGCCAACCCCATAAGCCCAGGAGAGAGAAAGGAGAAGTTACTCAGAGTCTGGTTGTTAGAAGCTTTTGGAAGACAGAGATGATGTCTTTCCCTGTTTCTCTTTTCTTTTCTTTTTAATTTTACTGAAGTAGAGTTGATTTACAATGTTGTATTAATTTCTGCTGTACAGCAGTGATTCAGTTATACATTCTCTTTTTAAATATTCTTTTGCGTCATGGTTTTCTTTCCCTGTTCTTTCTGTATCAAGCCTAGGGGAATATAATTTTTCTTCCTCTTAAAGTGATTACGATGGATACTGGAAGCTGGGACTTGACTCTGCTGTTTAAAATCATTCCTTGATTTGAAGCAATTCCTATAGCTTTTCTGGGCTTAGGTTATGCCATTGAAGCTGGAAATCACACATTAAGTTGATCAGTTCAGGAAAAAAATCTACCACCTGGCAGTATGGCCAAATGAACTCTGGTCAAAGAACTCAAATAGCTGAAGTGGGAAGCTCATATAAAAAGGAACACTCTGTCTATCTGTGATTCTTTAAAGACACTTCATAATTTTCGTATCCCTCCATCGTGCAAATGATAGACTTTAAGAGTTTCTGATCCTTGGAGGCATGGAGTTTTTTAAATGCCGAGGACCTATGATCATACTCTCCTTTGTCCAGGAGGTGGAGGTCTTACATATTTAATCTCAGTAGACTCCAGTGAAACCAAGTATTTGACAACAAGGGTCCAAGTTTCCTTTTTCCAGATAAGGAGGAAGCATACGCATTTTGGAATGTTGTATGGATGGTTTTGTACTTTATTTTCTTCCTTTGAATGAGTTTTGTTTTGAAAAGTAGATGCCCGTGTATGATTCTGAACCTTTGATGGTTTGTGGTGCCAACTTCCGGCTCTCCAGCTGTGCCACGTTTCTTCTGTTCTTGGTCTTACTTACGTCATTCCCCTGAATAGAGCCAATGTTGATGCCTTAGTGCTGTGAATTTCTCTCATGCCACTTGCTGTACTTGGCGTTTGAGGACCTCTCAAGGCTCTCTCCACCTCTCCAAGCATTAGGATAAGGACCAGGGTGAAATATGTACAATCTGGGTGACTGCATCTCTCTGCTTTTTTTTTTCAACCCAACTCATCCAAGGCAGCCCAGGTCAGAGGCAGCATCTTTTTTTTTTTTTTTTTTTTTAATTTCCAAATTTTTTTTCCCTTTTTTCTAAGCCTGATTGTGCTAAGAAACTATATGCTAATTAATAGATAATTAACCGGTATCTTCCTCTGGTCTAACCACATATGTTAACCAGTGTATTTAGATACAGGTTGAAGAAGGGGGTCAGCCATCCTTTAGAATGCAGAAGGAATGTAAACAGTTTTCAAGACCATTTTCTTTGGTGGAGGGAGTTGGGTGGGAAGAGGGTACATGCCGGTCTCTCTTGGAGGGGCCTTCAGCCTGGACTCCCATCAGCTCTGAGAAACGAGGAGTCAAGAGGTTACCAGTTGACATACCACAGCCGTATTTAGTATACGGGACAGAGTCTGCAAACATGTTTCAGCATATGCCCACTGCATCATAGCTTACTTTCTCAACTGGTTAAAATAGAGTCTTTCATTTCAGCGAACAAACACTGCGTGTTTCATGTATGGAATTTTGCATTATGTACTGTGGTGGAAGTTAAAAAGAATAAAGCACAATCCCAGCTCCTGGGGAGCTTATCATCCAGCTGTCTAAACCTTGGAGTTGAGAAAGTGTTTTAAAAGGGTGACGTTCTGGAGATATTCTTTAAGAAAATGATAGTCGATGTAAGTTTTTGCCATTGTGCTTGTGATTAAGCACTTCGCTGGGTGCCGTGGGTGCACCGCCAGTCCCACTATCAACCCACCCGCCACCTCCCGCCCTCGTTCCTGAGCAGCTGGATTCCCCGTAGCTGGTGCACAGTTCGGAATTGACTCCCCAAAGTGGGGAGAAGCTAATAAATATGATTTAGGATGAAAGGCGCTGTGTAAACGCTTGAGCTGTTATTACTGTTCCCGTGCACTTTATTTTTAAATTGTGCATCCTTTTAAGTAGATGACTCGTTCGCCCCAGTCTCCATTATATCGAAGCAAAGCATTCACAGAAATTTCTAAAACCTTTTCATTTCTCTCTGTAGGTTGTTGTTTCGTAACATTTTATACAAGAAAAGCTGCACTTGAGGCCCAGAATGCACTGCACAATATTAAAACTTTACCTGGGGTGAGTCGGTTTACTTTTGTACCAAAATCACTTTATTGCTTGAAAATGGTCCTTTCAACTGAAGGTTCTAGTGATGGGCTCTTAGTGCCAAAAATGACTTTGGGCTTTTGAGGAGGGTGTGCTGACCCCACCTCCCGTCCCCCCTGCAGCAGCTGGCCAGCCCCTCAAGAAACACTGGCATTACCGCTGACAGAAAGACCTCTCAGAGAGTATGTCCCCCGGTTAGAAAATCGGAGTGACCCCACTGGCTCGCAGTGGCTGAAAAGAGGACTGGGTGGGCTGCAATTTCAAAACGGGGGGAAACTCCACACACACACACGCACGAGAGGAGCAAATGGAAAAGGAAAAGCTTTTACTCACCAGGAGCCTCTTTTCAAATTTAGTCCTTAGATTTTTCTTTTGAAAGGACAAAAATGTACCCTGCACAGCCGTAATATTCAACCTCCTAATGGTCTCTAAACAGTCAATGGTGGTTAACAAAGTCAATGTTTTAATGCCCAATTTGCGGCTTCATGTCGATAGAGAACAGAAAATACAAAGCTTACAGTTTTTTTCCATTTCCTTCCCAGTACTTTTGGATGCTTGGTACCATTCACTAGAAATGAACTGATGTGGGCTATAGCTGCTTCATCAGAATACATGATTTCTGGGGGGCTGTGACAGTTTTATCTAGTGTACGCTGGTATAAATTTCTCTGTGCTGTCGGGATATCTTCCCTGTTGACTCAAATATCAGGGATGAGTTAGTTTAATAGCATAATGATTTGTGTAGGTGATAGTGAAGAACCTCTGGTAATCAGTGCTATGTTAATGATTTTATTGAAACCTGGTTTGATAATAGTAAAAGAAAGATAACATGATGTCCCTAATGTTTTCAGCGTATAATTCTAACTTTTTATCATTCATCTGTCGTGCTAACCTATGTACACAAGTCATTTGATACCCTGTCACCCCCCAGAAAAGATAGCATTTGTTTAATTCACCTTAGCGCAATTGAAAATTGTGTAATATTTTAGTGACAAGACAGTCAGTAGAAGGTTTTCAAAACATTAGCTTCGTAGTAACAAAAAAGTAATAAGTTATGAACCTTGGTCTCAAATCACACCACTTTGGTTTTCCCCTTTTTGTGTGAGCAAATCAGAGAGACAGTGGTTCAGAAAAGCAAGTGTGATACCAGAATTCTCCCTCCCAATTCAATTTAACTACTTCTCCCTGAAACTTTTAAGGTGGTTTTCAGTAACGGAGATTTTACTGGGTCTAAGTGCTTTGCCTAATGATTTTTTAAGTATCATTTCAGCTTCATTCTCTGTATAAATGGAATTTTTCCAACGTAAATTCTAGGAGGTTGCAGCGTTAGGTTACATTATTGAACGAAGCAACCAAGTTAAATATTTACTGGCAATGGTAGAAAAAAAAATTTTTTTATTTCCCAGGCTCCTAATCCACCCCAAAACCCACTTGGTATTCCTTCTTTTAGAAAGAAATACTTTACAGTAATTAGTGTACAAAATCCCATTTTAAACAAAATGTTTAAAAAAATTACTTGATGATAAATTGTTACTTAGTATTTAGAGTGTATAGAGGCACATCACATCCTATTTTAAATTAATGCAGAGCTTGGTTAATCTGAGTTCATCACCTCCACTAGGAGAGGGACATAGCTCTTAACATGCAATTTTCATACGTGAAGATGCTCCCTAGAAACCCAGAAGTAATCTGATGAATGGGCCATGTTGAAAAACCTACAAATGACTGATGGGTTTGCTCCCATTTGGGACATCTTACTCTGACCCTTTTCTCAGCAAACAAATAGCATCTTCTGTATTAAAAAAAAAAAATGTTGCCCATGTCTCTTTTTCGCCTTAAAAATTCTGCATGCAGAAGTCAGGGCTGGTGATTTTGGAAACCCATTATTAAGGACAAGAAATCTGGGGTTGGAAAAGATGGTTTGTGGATTGTTTTCGGCTTTCTTTTTATCCAGTTCAATTTCCTATGCCCAATTACCTGAGGTGGGTTAAATGAAAATTTTGAGAAGTCAGGTCTGATTTGTAAGCTCCTAGCCTTCACAGTGCGCACAGTACTGCTACATCTGCCATTTCAAATTAGGCGCATGGGAACAGAGTTCCACATCTTGCATTTATGTATTGCTTTATCTGATCAGCATCACCCTTAACAGCTCCAGGAAGAACATGAAAGTGGTTTCCTATCAGCTGGGAGCTTTGGTGGGCAGGAAGAAAAGGGACCAGATAAAAGATTAATGCATATTCTTGGGGAAAAAAATATTACAGGGTGCCTTTCTGTTTGATTACAAGCCTTGGAATTAGTCAACATTTCCATAATTCTAAACCAGTATACACCTGTTTTCCCACTGTGATGTGAAGGAACAACTTAATTTAACAGAACCCCTGCTGTGCTAAATCTCTCATTAAATACCCAGTGAGTTCGGTAATTTAAAGTTGTAACACTACTATTTTAACTGGTTGCCTCCATATTATGAAATTAATAAGAAATTAATGATGCACTTTGCCATATGCCTTCAATTTCTTTCTGAATAAAAGTAAAAGGGATAAAGAAAAATGCATCACCAGCTGACACTTTAAAGCTTTTCTGGTTGTAATCATTTCTCCTGTGGATAAAATCCATTAAAAATGCACTTGCTGCCTTTTTTTCTAAAGTGTCCACAACTTTCTGTTTAAAACAAGATCAAATAGTGCTGCGTGTTTGGTTGGAGGTTTTTTTCCCTATTTAATTTTCTTTTGCAGTTGATATGTTTTGTCATAATGGAACTTTTCATCACGCAGCCAAACTTGGTGAATGTTGAGAGACTATCGTTCTTGAGAGAAACAAAGAACTTGGTTAGTATGGGAGAGGAAGAACACCTGATGGGATGTTCATTTATGCAGTTGGATGTGTCTGCTCTCAGATTTTTATATAAAGGCACCCTTCCTCCCATGTCATGTATGGATTATAGAGACCCTTTCTGTGGTGAGGTATAGGGCAAAGCATCTGGGCCTTACTTAGCAGTGCAAAGGCATTAAGGACGCATTTCTCAAGCCTGTCTCTTACCATGTGACTGAGAAAGACGCTGGGTCTTACATCCTCCGAAGTGCTCAACATAAATCCTAGAAATACGCTATTAGAAATTAAGGGAGAAAATTCAGGAGCTCAACACAGGGAGCAAGAAATGAGCTTCGGAGGGTAGGGAGGCCCTTCCCCTGGTTTGATCATGCTCTGCTCTACAGATAGTGGTTTGACACATATGCAACAGATCAAATCTTAGGCACGGCGCCTAATTTATTACTGACGTTTCATTAGGTTAACAAATCACTCATGATAATCGGTGCCTGCTGTGTGCCAGGCGGCAAAGCTATACGGTCACACACGCGCCCTTGAGATCCGTAGTGAGTCTGTGACCGTGTCTGCACAGAAAGCAGAGCCTGACGAACCATTGGCCTTGCTACCAACTGGTTAGACTTGCTCCACAGCTGAGCCATTTGCGTTCTTGGACAAATCTTGATTGCCTGTCCTTTGACGACGTAGCCCATCAGGCTAAGAGATAGCTTCCTTTGTTTAGGGTTTCAGGCAGGCACAACCTCACTGGTAGAATTATTCAGTAGAAACATCATCGTCTGCCACTGTGGTTCCGAGAGAGAAAACCCTTGTGAAGGCAACTTGCAAGATTCATTTTGTTCTCACTGACCTAATTTAGCTTAATTAAAAAATAAAATAACGACCTCAGCGAAGGCACGGGAAAACTACCACGATCTCTTCAGTAATCAGATGTCAGGGCCAAATAGCCCTGTGCCAGTGACAGCACTAGGCCTTATGCCATTCTTTTTTTCAAGGTCTTCACACACATTGTCTCTAGCAATAAGGCTTTTTGATTGAAAATCTCCAGCAGTATCATTAGAGCATTCACCGTATAAATTAATTTAATTAAGGATGTAGTAACAGAGAGGAATACAGGTTTGAAAAAGCTCTTAAACTTTAACAGCAAGGAGGAATCAGAATCCAAATGTCTTGTAAAATATTAACTGCAAATTTCTTCCAGCCATTTTCTCCGAGTCTGCCTTCCTCCTTTCTTTTTAGAGTCACTACCAGTTTTATTAAATGCACTTTATATTAAGGAGTTACAGCCCTAAGAGCACATTTGTTTAGAGCACTCCGTGTTAGCAGTGGCAGATGGGAACGACACACAGACTTGAGAGATAAAGACAAATGGGCCTGATCCAGCAGGAAGAAGCTGTAAATAAAATGGCCTCTTGGGCCACGTGTGTTCACCCACATGACGTGAATGACCCCCTTCCTGGCTGGCCCTGTGTGGGTCGGCAGTCCTCCCCGGCAGCCTTTAACACAACTCTCCATGGAATGGTTCCCCTGTGTCCTCTAAGAGAGGAATGCTAGGGCTTAATTTCTTTCAGCAGAACAGCAAAGGCTCTCATTGGGACCAAATGCAGTTTGCCCATTGTAATGCTTTTTGAGGTACTCATTTACTCTGAACCACCTCTTCTGATTATTAATATGTATTTAATGCCTTTGCTCTCAGAGCCATGATGATTATTTTATCATTATCATCATCATTATTATTTCTGTCATAAAAATCTCTCAAACCCCATCTCTTCATGTCATGGAAATTTCCCCCGAACCATCCCATTTGAATCAAAGCGAAGTGTTTTTCCTCAGGCTCCTTTTATTTAAAATTGTTAGTTGATTTACAGTGTTGTGCCCATCTCTACTGTACAACAGAGTGACTCAGTTATACCCATATAGACATTCTTCATTTTTTTTTTTTTCTTTTGCGGTACGCGGGCCTCTCACTGTTGTGGCCTCTCCCGTTGCAGAGCACAGGCTCTGGACGCGCAGGCTCAGCGGCCATGGCTCACGAGCCCAGCCGCTCCGCGGCATGCGGGATCTTCCCGGACCGGGGCACGAACCCGCGTCCCCTGCATCGGCAGGCGGACTCTCAGCCACTGCGCCACCAGGGAAGCCCGACATTCTTCT